GGAACAGCAAGGTGCGAAGGTTATTTATTTATTTCCCCTCATAAGTTTGGGGTTGTAGTTCCCTATGTTTTCTTATTATTCTAATTAATCTGAGTCAACAAGAGCTCTTTCCTTATGGTTAGGCAACTATCTGTTTGAGACACAAATGATGGGACATACTGTCTCTCCTTTTCTCTGAAGGTGCTTTATGTATCCTTCTTGAGCGTGTTACAGGCTCCCCTCTGCAGAGGATGCAAGCAAGTTATAGCTAGGGCCTGGTTTAAATAGTGAGCCCAGCTTGCTAATATTGTGGCATGATTGTGGCAGGGGCTCCATATTTGTGCCCAGATTGTGGGCCCTGCCCTGATTGTCTGAGGGGCAGGTTTAGGGCCAGGTGTAATTGCAACAGCAGAGGCCTTGCTCCTGATGGCTGCTGAAAAGCCCGTGCCTCCTCCCTCCCGCTTCACCAGAAAAGGCAGGAACAGCAGTAGTGGCCATCTGCCCTGCATTGTTTCCGACAGGCAGAGAGGAAATTCCCTTTTCAAAAATGCCACTCTACTCTGCTGGGATCCCAACCAATTGGCAGCGAGTCTGATGCTGAGCTCAGTGTCAGCCAATCAGCACTGATGATGACGAGCTCGTCACACAGGAGGTTTGAGGGCACCTGGGGGCTGCCTTGGCAGATGGCCCTGGCACTGGGTAGGGGAGGGGCTGTTTGTTCCTCCACGCATGTGTTTTCTCCCTTTGCCCCCAAACTCTGGTGCCTCAGTTTTCCCACCCAGAAGAGCAACCAGCCCCTCCTCAGACTGGTGCTAGGGCCATCTGCAAAGCCAGCTCCCAGGTGCCCCCAAACCCCTGTGCCTCAGTTTTCCTGCCTGGAGGAGCAAACAGTCACTCCCCTACCCATCCTCAAGATCTCTCCTCCCCGTGTCCCTTTTGTGACCCCTTCCCCGCTCTCTTGGGCTGCTAGGCTTTTGCTGCTGGGTGGGGAATGCTGGGGAAATTCCTTTGCAAACCACTTTTGTGAAAATAACTTAATTTTGTGAATTTTAGGAAAAAAAATATCAAATTGCGATTTCAGCTGGACCCTAATTATAGCTCAGCTGGTGAGTGTGACTCTAGCCTTTGCTGGAGCAACTCTTTCTTTTACTAGGAGATTCCCAATTCAGTCCTTGTTTTGCAAGAGAAAAATGGTGGCTGTCATGCCGAAAAGCTTGACTTTCTTTGGCACAGAAACAAAAAACAGCTCCATATTCCTGGGTAGAGAAGTATTTAAAAACTGCAGCAATGCCGCCCATTTTGTAACAGCTACATAATGGATCTGATGATTCCAGGAGGCACAGATCACCTCTTTATAAGATGGTTTAAAACATTTTTAAAAATCTCCCAGTTTGAGAAAAGTGTAGATTAACAAACATTTTTCTACATTACACAAATTCATTTGGTCTCCTCAAAGAAATCTGAGATTGTTATAACATGATTGTCACAGAGAAGGGTGGATCCAAGGAGTGTGCAGTGGTGCAGTTGTTACCCTTCTTTGATACCTGGTCTGCCCAAAATTTAAAACCAACTGCCTGAGAGTGACAGCAGTATTTTTGTTCAGGCAGCAGTGAGGGAGTCACTTGACTACATGGCTTATTAGAATCTACTTGATTCCTCCTCAACTCTTCATTTCATAGGCATTAACAACCTTTTAAAATGTTGTTGATGATGTTCCACTAATTAAGTTAACCTTTCTTCTGCAATTCTGCTGTCAGCTAGTTTCTCCTAGTAACACAACTCCTGATTCACAGCCCTGATCACTGGTTTTAACTTGAGCTAAAAACATTAACCGAGGTGTGGAAAACAGTAACTGGGGTGGACTAACTCAGGTGGTGCAAACTTTTAGAGAAGCACTGGATGCAATATCAAGATGTCTTGTTTTGTTTAATGAATCTGAAAGGTACAAATTCTAATGACAGCAAAACTAAAAAAACAACATCTTTTGATTATTTTTGCCTAGTTTGCGTTTTTTTATACATAGTATACAATATTTATTCACATTCCAAATAAGTTATATTTGTTTTTGCTTCAATCTTGAACTTAATAATATAGCCCTTGGTCCCTAGCATATTAGTAAAGCTTCTAGTTTCCTTTTCCCTGGTGAAAAATGTATGTTATGTGATGATGCACCACACCATCCTTACCTCCCATTTTCAAAATCACAGATCCACCCATGGGTACAGATCAGAATCAAATGTACCTTGGAAAAAGCTTGCCCAGCACTTGTCTGTATTACTATTGCAAACTATCTGTCACTTATTGGCAGGGATCTTCAGAATTTGCAGCAGAAGCATGCAGCTTCTTTAACATTGGAGTTTCTACCGCATACTCCCCACAATTGATTGGGGGAGGGACACAGTTGACGGTTGCTCACTGCCTGAGCCTAAAGGCCAGGAGGTGAAAACTGCAGCATATTTAAAACTGCAGTTTTCACTTCCCAGCTATCAGGTGCAGGCAGCAAATAGCAAGCCTTCTCCACAAATCAGTGGCGGGGGGGGG